ATTTCAAAACATTTGGCTATTTTAAAATCACAAATTTGTTAATGATTTTAGCTTCATTGTGATTATCAGAATACATATTCTGTTTGAAATTTGTTGAGAGCTACTTTCTAACCCAGTGTAGGAGCTTGGTTCTGGTCAGGATTCCTTGTCCTCTTGATAGGAATGTTTACTCTGCAGCCACTGAGTGCAGTATCCACATCTTTGTGGGGAATGTATTGGACATGAAGATAAGTCTTCTTATTGACATTTTTGTCTCTGTTCTTGAAAGAGATGTGCTCATATCTCCAACTAGGAGTGTGGACTTTTTTTTATTTCTCATTTGAGTTTTGTCAGGTTTTGCTTAATTTTGTTTAAGATATTATGTACAGATTGATTAACCCTTTTACCATTATACATTCATTATTAAATTTACCATAGTAAAAAAGACAAATCACTCTTGTATTATTGTTTGCTTGTCTGATATTAGGATCACTAAACTAGCTTCCCTTTAGTTAGTGTGTGCATGGTATAGCTTTCCCAATCCTTCAGCTTTCAACCTTTTGGAGCCCCTATTTTCAAGAAGTGTTTGAAGCCACATAAGGCTGACGAGGTAGCTCAGTGGTAGAGGCTTGCTTGGCTTGGTGTGTGCAAGGCTCTGGGTTTGATCCCCAGTGCTACAAAAACAAATAGAGACAAACCAATGAATTAATTAATAAAAGAGCAAAATAATTCGGTTTCTGATTATTTTCAGTTCATTTAGTTGACTTTTTTTTTTTTTCATGTGCTTAGAGAAAATGGTTCAGGCACATTTTAATGACCTGATTGATCTATTTGCTTTTAAATTTGCCACCTCTTTTGGGGCTTTCTGTTTGTCCTGCCTGGTCTGGGCTCATTCTTTTCTTTCTTGCCTTTTGTTGTATTAATTAAGTTTAAAATTATTTTAATTTTATTCTTTTAGTGGTTACCATAGAGATTAAGTTGTGTATTTTTGAAGTAGTAGAGTCTACTTTTTTTAAACAATTCTTTGACAATACAGGGATGTTGCAGTACTTTAACCCACGACTTCTGCTTCCTTTTGCACGGTTCTAGACTTTAATTCTACTTATTTTTATTATTTACTTTTTTATTTTGAGGGTGTTCTGGGGATTGAACTCAGGGCACTCAGCCACTGAGCCACATTCCCAGCTCTATTTTGCATTTTATTTAGAGACAGGGTCTCACTGAGTTGCTTAGCGCCTTGCTTTTGCTGAGACTGGCTTTGAAATCTGATCCTCCTGCCTCAGCCTCCTGAGTTGGTGGGATTACAGGAATGTACCACCATGCCTGGCTCTTACCTATATTTTCAAAGGAAGAAACACTATTATTGTTGTTTTAAAAATCAAAATGTTCTTCAATTTACTCAGCATCCACCCTTCCTGTTATTTTTCCTGCATTGCTGCCATCCCATTCCAAGTTCTTGTGCCTAAAGAACTCCCTTCAGTATTTCTTCTAGTGTGAGCCATAACAATTTTGCCAAATTTTTGTTTGTCCCAGAATGCCCTTATTTTGCTTTATTTTTTTGGAGAATATTTTGCCAAGTATAAAATTCTAGGTTGGTAGTTTTGTACTTTCATTGCTTTACTGTTATGTCAAGGGAAATGCTTTCAGAAAAATAACCAGGAAGTGAGGGGCGATGTCCTCTGCTTCACATGTCCATCCAGCAGCATACCTTGCCTCCTTAACTTGTTTTCTTACCTTTTTAATTAATCTGCATTAAATTTTTATTATTTTAAACTTCGATATGATATTTGTTATGTTTGTATATAGTTTTGTAGAGTAGCTACACTTCTAGAACAGTCCTGAGAATATTTGGTATGTTGTTTCAAAAAGAAGTAGCTTAAATGCTCTCTGATGATTCAAGTAGGCAAGGAAAATTGGGAGTGGAAACTAAATTAAGTCAAAACTCCACCGAATCACATCCTATTATGTTGCCAAATAAGACAAAATCAAAAGCAGAAAGTATGTCATTGCTTATTAGTAGTGAGCACTTTACTTTGTTCCCCTGATTAGTGGTCTTAATCAAGTCCTAAGTGGAATTTGATTAAAATAAAAATATAGTCCCATTGTCTCTTGTAGGAAGCATTTGCCGTCACATTGCAAAAGGCCATTCAGAAGGAAAGCATAAACACATTTTGTTGCTTCAGATTTAGACTGTTAAAAGAAAGACATAATAAACACTGCGGTAGTTATAAGAAGCACGTAATTTGTCTTGAATGCCAAAGACTAAGCATAACACACCCAGATATTTGGTGTGAATGCACGAGGAACAGTGAGACCTCATCTGCTGCAGACAAGGTCCCAGAGACCAGCTTTCCCAGATTTCAGTTAATTTCAATAGACCACTGTGAAGGCTGCCGTGGTCCCTGAAAAGAAAGGAATCGACTTACACTGTATCTTGTTAGTTTCTTCACAGTAAGACAGCCTACAGGATTGTTGAAATCCATATTATAGAAATACTGCATATTTTGAATGAAAAAGTCACTCAGTCTCCTTCTCTTAGAGTTTTAAATAGATCAACGGAGTTTGCGTGCCCATAAATCCATAACCTGGAAAGGACCTGGGGAGCCCATTGTTTTCTTTCCTCTTCCCTTTGAAGGTGATAAAATTTAGGTGCAAAAACCTGGTGTCAAGTAAAAATGAATCTGGACTTAGGGAGAAGCTTTTATTTAGAAGAGAGATGACTGCAATAGGGACAATGTTCTGGTCGCAGAAATCTGCCAGTGTCCCCAAAACAAACAGAAAAAAGGGTGTTCTTTTATAGGGGAAAGGAGGGGCAGGCAGAGATCAGCAGAATCCCTGCAGGGGGAGTTGGACATTCAGGGGGAAATGCTCCGTGAGCCTAGACAGGAAAGTGTCCTGCTTTGGTCAGCCCACTCCCAGGGGATGCTGATAAGGGGACACATTCCTCAAGTTTTTTGCTTGCTCAGGGTTGAGGCCAGTGGGATTTAGGAGCCTGTAGCAAAAAGAGGAGCCTGATTCAAGTTTGACAAGAAAAAGCAGAAGGTGAGAGATGGGGAACTGTGACCGCGTGGCCATTGGAGGGAGGCGTCCAAGATCTCCAGCCTGGAGCTGTCTAATCTGAGGTGCCCTCTCTGGACTCACATAACCTTTCCACCTGCCCTTTACCCAAGATCTCTCCCTTTGCCTTCGTCTCAGTTTTCTCTTTCTGAAACATCATTTAAAGAGTTGCCTAAAGATACCTGACAGATACCAAACTGCTTTTCAAGAATTCTCTCTAAATACTCTCCCAATTATTTGTGTGAACATTCCTTTCTTTACTTGCTCATTCATTCATTCACTTACTCTTCAAATGTTTTTTTAGCTTCTTTATGGCACAATATGGTGGTAAATTTGGTGTCCCTGCTCTTAAAAACTATGCAGCCTAGAGGGATCCATTAAACTAATAAATGTCTAGTTTTAATATAGCAGGAGAAGAGTTATGAGGGGCTGCTGACTGTCACCCTAACCTAACTCTATCTCTAGTCAGCCCTTCTTAACTAGGGGTACTTTTCTTTCTGGGGCCTAGACGGCTATATGTGAAGATGTATTTGGTTGTCATGATGAGGAGCATCCTGCACCTAGGATTCAGAGGCTGATGATGTGGCCACACATCTTACAATGTGTGGGACAGCCCCTCCACCCCAGCAAAGGATTATTCAACTCCAAACATCAACATGCTGTGGATGGAAACACTGACCCAAGCTCTGACCTAACTGATCGTGTGTTGGGGAGCCCATGTGGCTATGGACCCATCCCAGGAGAAACTCATCTTCAAATGTACATTAAATAGATGTCTTATGGTGTGTTCCTACAATGTGCAGAGCCGAGCAGACAGCTGTCAGATTTCATACCATTTCCAGCCTTCTTTCTTAAAGACCCGGTTGCTTTTTAGCAACCCGAATATGTGGTTTTGCCTAAAATTTTGACACTGGGTCCTTGCTACTACAAGGGTACTAAAAATCATTTAATTTTAAAGAGTTTTAGTCACTGACTTTGCTGGAATTTTACCTTTTCTATACATATCTCAAGTAAGAGTGTGTCACAGGACTGGGGGCGAATCTCCCCCCACTTCTCCCCAGGAGCAAGTATTTACAGTGGAAATAAACTTAATAAGATCAAATCTTAAAGAAGGTTTCTAGAAGTCAAATGGGAACTTTCAGAAAGGAAAAGGAGACTATTAACAACGGATCCTGAAATTTCTAATACCTAGGCGGGTGTGGAACCACCCAAGTTCAGAATAAATATCTTCAAAGTCTCATTTGATGTGAGAGCTTTGTTATGTCAGGAAAATACATGTGCATTGTTGGGGTAACTTCAAAGACCTCTCTGGGCTCTGCCCTTCTTATCGTAGGCCAGTAGGACTTGCATTAGCACCCCCTGGAGCACTGGTGCCTGGGACACTTTGCCTGTCCTTCCTGCATCTCCTTTCTTTGGAAAAGTGTTTCAATCATGACAAAACATAAGCCGGGAAGGGACAATCTAAAAACCCCAAGTACCATGGCTTCTTAGCTGGAGGGACCTTTTGACCAAGCAGAAAGTTCAGGAGAGGGTATGAAGTTGGATACTGGATCTGAAAACCCTCAAGCACCAGCGAGATTCTCAGGGCCTTCCCAGGCCACCCAATCTTCCTGCCTTTTTCCTACTGGGTAAAATGCAACCTCAGAAATCCATCTCTAATTGAATAAGGATGAAGCAGACACCAACCAACTCCAGGGAAAGCAGTGAAGTGAATTCTTGGCACAGGCTCCTACCCACCACGAGGGGCTGCCTCACCTGCCACCGCACACCTTGCCTGGCCCCGCCCCACCTGGTGTGCTCCTGGTCTTCTGTTGTCACTATCACCACAATCAATTATTACTACTTCTTAGGAGGAGGCTTGTCCCTGGTTCTTACCAACAATAGTGAAATAATATGCATAAGGCCAGACAGAAAACCATGCAGCACAGCCAAACAGCCTGGCTATGGAGATGGGAGGGAAAGTTTCAGAATTCACTGTTATTCTTGCAGATAAATCGGAAGGCAACATATATACTGTTAAGGAAAGAAGCAACATCATTATTAAAGTTATTGATTTGAAATTCTTTGAAATATGTTAGCCAAATATCTTTGGCTATATCTTGGAGGAGAAAATTTATAAAATACTGACTATCACATGTATTTGGATGTGAACAGAATTTTCACTAAATAGAATGTATCCTTGTGAGCTGATATGATCCTTACATTACCCCCTCACCCACCCACCCCATCTTACACAGTCTTACCTGACTCTTTGATTTAAATATTGGTCAGATTGGGAGTACTGCTCAGTGGTAAAACACTTGCCTAGCATATGCAAGGTCCTGGATTAGATCCTCCAAAACAGAAAAAAGGAGGGAAGGAAAAAAAGTAAGGAAATAAGACCTTGGTCAGCAACCCCACTGAACTGTTCACGATCTACAATCGGTACAGGGCCAATTTATGCTTTTGTTACAGACCTGGGCCCTTCCAGGAAACTGAGGCAGTTCAAAGATCCCCCTCCCCACTGCCAACCCTGATTTTTCAATCAAATCAGAAAGATTTCAGACATGTTGCTCAGAGTGATAGAACTGAGCCTATTGAAAGGACAGGAAAAAAGAAAAGGGACACTCTCGAGGGAAAGAGTGGGTCCTCTCAGAAAGGAGAGGGACAGTGTGCCTCTCCTGCACCCCAGTTTTATTAAGGATCCCAGAGAAATTTCCAGAGAGTCCCACCAAGGTCCACCTCTTGAGATTTGACTGGCAGCAAGATGACATCACACTTCCAAGTCCCACTGCCATGGCAACCCTAGGTTATTTTGGTCCGTGCTGACTGGTTCTAATTGGATTCTTTACTACAAATTCTGACAGATTTTTTGGTTAGGAGGAATTATCCTTATCTCCCCGAGTCTTGGGATCTGGTCTATGAAAAGGGTCACAAAGTCTCCCCCTTCAGGGCAACTTGGGTTTCTTTTATCGACATTATTTGGGGCCTGCATTTCTCTTGTAGATAACAGGTAGTTTGCTGAGGAATGTGACCTATCGTGTCCACTTAAGCCAGGCAAGACTGCTCAAATTGCTTCTTAGAAAAGAAAGCATGTAGGGGTCAGCACAGTGAGCCCAGTTGCAGAAATATTCCCTTAACCTTCTGTTCACCTCTCTCCGTCCCCTATCACTTTGGACTATAAGCCACAAACCTTTTTTCTGTTTATTATTATTTTTCACAATTCTTGTCACATATTGCTGCTGTTTTTCTACAGCGTGCACTGTACACTGTCGTGTGTGCCATGGCTCAGTTTGCCCACCTCACGTCCACAGCTTGCAAATGACAGCTAAAGACTAGAGTTAGTGAAAGACTAGAGAAAGGAAAGGGTCTTGATGGTTCAATCGGAAATCTCCAGTTGTCCAAAGACAGGCCACATTTGGTCAGTAGGATGCTACCTTGTCACTGATGTCTTTAGGGAAAGGTAGAGCTTCAACAGTCTTTCATGACATTAGCTGCCTCTTTTGAATTTTGTAACTGAAGTTTTATTTTTTTTCCAAACAATCTAGTATTCAGTGTTGAAATCATTACCACGGTGTTATCCAAGATTACAGTTCGAATGCTTAATAATTCATTTTGTATTAAAAATGAACAAAAACTCTGTTTTTTACTTAAGACCGACCTTACAATATACAATTACCTTTACATGAACATCCCTTTTGGTCTTAAAAGTAATCTTATGAAGGAAGCTAGCCAGTATGGTTCTGGCCTTTTGAGAGAACAGAGTGGATTAAACTGGAGTTTTAATTGACTTCCCCACTTGGGAAGTGATAGAACATGGATAAAACTTGAGACAGTGTTTTTTCCCATTGATTCAGTAGTCCTCTTTGGTATAAATAGCAAATATGTCACATTAACCACATGCTGTATACTCTTCCTAACCTTAGGTCTTGTAATCGGAGGTCTCATGAGCTTTGTTTCCTCAGGGCTCCACATCACTGAAATGCACTCATTATAGTTATTTCTAAACAGCCTAACCTGTTTTGTTTTGTTTTGTTTTTAACCATGGAGTATCTCAGCTACATAGAATATGCACATTTTCTTCACATGGATAAGATAAAGTCTTGCATACCAACTCCCCAAGGTTTCAAGGGCTTCTACTGCTCCATTATAGATTGAAAAATCTTGGGACGGGGCCTTGTCATCCCACAGGATCTGCACATAGTTCAAAACCTGGTTAAAACCCGCTGTGGAAAGAGCCCACCACAGGGACCAGTAGAAAAGACGCTTTGAGGAGTAGCACTCCCGCAGATCCTGGAACCACTGCACGCAGCTCCTCCAAGCCTCATGTTTGGGCTTGGGGCTGCTGGCCTGGCTCTCCTCCCCAGGCCTGGGAAGGCTGCCTGCTTCTTGGTGGGCTGCTTCGTCACCTCTAAGGGCTTCCTCTGGGACGGCAGTCTGTCCTGGTGTCTTCTGAGAAGCTTGTTTGCTGGGTTTTGCATGGAAAAACATGCTCTTCTTGGGCATTGGCAGAAAGAGGGAGAAGAAGAAAGCCACGGAGACAGAGGCCAAGGAGATGACGTGGAGGTGGAAGTAGGACACGTTTGCCAGGGAAACCAGGAGCTGGGCCAGCACCGAGGCCGCTGTGTAGGCCACCAGCGTGACACTCCGACAGTAGCCGCTCACCTTCTGGTAGTGCTCTGGTCTGACCACACTGTAGATGTAGGCGTAGTAGGCCACCTCGGTGGCCGACACCAGACCATAGACAAATTCAACCAGCTGCATGATCTTCACTCCTTGGCCAAACAGGAGCAGCAGCCAGGTGACGATGAAGCTTATCCCCTGTAAGAAGATGACCGGCTTGTAGCGGACGTAATCAGTGAGGACAAACACGGGGAGCAGCAGCACCAGGTAAGAGTAGGGCCAAAGTGGAAAGTTAGTTGTCTTTTGTGGTCTGCAAAATTAAACGTGGAGAGCGCGAGGGCAGAACTACCAGGAAGTGAACTGAACTGTGGGTCTCTGACACAGACATGGTTAAGATGACGGGCATCAATCCCTGGACTCATTGCTTGGCCTCTGCCAAAGTGGGTCCGATTTCATACTTTACAAGAAGTTCTGACAATATGTTGAAAAGCAACACAAAACCCAAATTCAAGGAAACAAGTTGGAAAATGACAGATATTTGTAACTGGTGGCTTTATACCTCCAGGAAGGTGGAGGGGGAGGAGGAGGAGGAAAAAGAGGAGGAGGAGGCAGGGGAGAAGATCCTTGGCCTCTGTCTCTGCGGTGCCTTTTTCTCACTCTTTCTACCAATGTTGAAAAGGAGCTTGTTTTTCCATGCTCTCAGATGAGTCACCTGCTGTTAACTTTTTAAAAATGTAATTTGATCTGCATAAGCTACTGAGGTTGGGGAAATTGTCCAGAACGCACAAGTTAATCTTTTTACACTTTGACTATCCAGGGCAATGCAGGACTGCTGAGGTTCTGGGCTTGTGGGTACTTAGCAAAATAGCTTACTCCTCTTCAAAGTCAGAATCAAAAGGTCAAAAAAGGTGACTCGATACTGGAAGAGCTTGATCACCATCACCTTTGATCCACATTGGTGCTTGAATGAGCCTTCCATTGAGATACCATCGGGACCATCAGTTAAATATGGTACAAATGACTGGTTTGAGGTTGAAAGTCAGATAAAGAAGCATGTTTGAGTCACTCCTCTGTGTTTCCCCATTCTTGGCTGGGCTTCTTAGGCTGCTCTGGAGGAACCACGAGAAACTACTTAGCTCCCTTGCTCCCGCCAACGTTCTCACGGAATACAGGTAGCATTAGCAAATTATCTGAACGAGGCAGTAGTACGGAAATGATGCATGGATGGAAGATGACATAAAGGAGGCAGGATAGTCCCTCTCAAATCTCTCTTCTCTTTGAATTTTCAACCCACTGATTTTCTGAGCCAGAGAATGTAATTTGACCTAATCTGGGACCTTGAGGTTCCAGGTCGACCTTTACCCAAGTGCTCCTGTAGTTTGGAGAACTTTCTTCCTTGATTTTAGAAATGGCTACTAATCTGGGAAAGGTCTCATTCCAGCGCAGCTTTATTGAGTCTCTGGAGTCTAGGTCCAGCCCAGTGAATCTTCCAGCTAAAGCAGTTTGTGCCTAATGGCAGCCAAGATTGGCATGCACTCATGTTTACTGAGAGGAGAGCAGTTCCCTTGGTGTGGATGGAGGCGAGGAAAGAGAAGCCAAAGAAGAGAAAGTTGTGATCTTACCAATTACCGTTGGCTAAATAACCAGGCTATAAAATGGAGGTTAGCAAATTATTTTCCTGAAGAAAATGAACCAACGCAGTTTCTTCTTTGATCTCATCATTGCTCAACAGCTTAAACCAGTGCTTCTCAAATTAGCATATGTCAGATTCACCCTGAAGGTTTGTTAAAAAACAGAAAATAGGACTGGGTCTGAGAATTTGCATCTTAACCAGTTTCCAGGTTATGCTGATGCAGGGTCTGGGGGCCACACTTTAAGAACCACGGGACTTGAGGCTTCTTAAGACTAGATCCTTTGACCTGAGTGAAATTTAAAAGCAGCCTGATATTTATACATACAGAGGGGGAAATTTTCAGAGGCCTTTTCACATGACTTTTGGTAATTTGCCCCTTGCCCCTTCTCCACCCCAAATCTTCTATTATCCTCTAAGTCCTACATTCCTAAGCCGGGATGGCATGGTGTTAGTTTAATGATAATAAGCAAAAAAGTCCTGGAGGTTTGTTTTTGCATAGCCAGAAGATAAAATAAGTTTTTTTTTTTTTACCTACTCTAATTTTGTTGTAACTCGAACTTTTATTTTTACATAACTGATACACAGACATGTTGATGCTCATCTTAACAAAGTTGACATCTGAGATCATAAGAAGTGTTGCTAATTTGCTCTTACCCAAAGTGCTGGACATAGTTGTAACTAATTAACTTAGCACACTGAGGCTCATATTTTTGTCAAGTCCTGTTAAATAAACTATGATAAATGGCTCTGATGGTTTCATCATTGAGAAAAAAAAACCAAATAGGCAGAGAATTACTATAGGATAAAGCCAGGAATGGTTTGGTGAAGTTTGGCAACAAGTCATGCTTCTTTAAACTGTCACAAAAATTTTAAAAGCAAGTTGGAAGACTGGTCATCAATTCAATTGATTTCTTTTCATAAAACATGCATTTTATTCTTCATGTTCCTCTTGTACTATCAAAAATGAAAAAAAACATCCCCGTGACCATGAAAATATGACACAGGTCAAGAAACGAACTTGAACCTTTGCTTTTGGTTTCTTGTCATAACGAGAAAAGTAATGATTGCCCAAAAACACTGTAGGAAGAGATTCAGTTTCATTTCAACTGGAACCATGGTGTCACTGATGAAAACCTACAATATGGCCCACGTCACTCAGTCAAATCCTCCATTAGTCTTTTAGTTTCAAAAATCAGGGGATTTTTCCTGAGGCAGTGGAAGGTGAGAAGGTACGACTGGTAGCTTTAGACAGGAAAGATATCCACCAACAAACACTTATTAAGCATCTATCTCTCATCTCCTTCATGAGCTCCTTAACATGTCAGTATTGCTAAGTGGAGACTAATTTTAATGAACATTTAAATGCAGAGAATTAAGCAGCCCTTGGGAAGTAAAGATTTTTTTTTCCATTACTTATTGGTGCATTATAGTTGTACATAATGGTGGGATTTGTTGTTATATATTTGTACATGCACACAATATAATTTTGCCAATATCATTGGGGTATAAAAGATTTATAAACCAGCATAGGTATCACTTTTTCTAAGAATTAAACTCAAAAATGAACATTCAGCTACCCGAGAGCTGGGATCAGCTTTGTCACCAGGGTTTAACACAGTGCCTGACCCAGCAAAAGTACCCAAGGGGCATGGACAGAATATCACTCACCATTTCTGAGGCCAGGGAGACTAGCTTCAGGCTTTTATGTTAGGAATAACTACTGGTTCCAACCTCATGAGGCAGCCTGTTTGAAAATGCAGAATGTCCAAATCAAAAATGGTTGAATTGGTGGGTTTGAGTAGATTAGGGAATTCATCAAGACCACAATGGAAAGACTACATAACAAGTGACCATGCAGGGAGAGGGCTGATTCTCTCTAAATGGGGAATTTCCACTATTCAGTTTAGGATGGGCAACAAGTTCGCCCCCTGCTGGTGTCTTCACTTATTGTCAGAAGTCAGTGGATTTTTATTTTATCTGTCAGTGTTCTGCCTATGCAGCCCCTCTCAATTGAAGGGCTTTCTTTGTGGTCTATAGAAAACTAATGACTACCTAGGAAGAACTTTGAAAACATAAAGCGTACAATATTCTTTGATTATGTGGTCTATCTGAAATTGAATGGAGCAAAAAAACTGGACATGAAAAGTTCAAAGTGTCCTTCCTTAGGGTTCTTTCTTCTAATTCCAAGGCATTTTTTTTTTCTCTTTCTAAAATTAATGATGAAGAGTGAGCTGTGAAAAAATTCAAATACTGGATTTTTAATCCCAGGTAAGTGGCATAACTTTTAAGCAGGTAGCTGCTTTTTTGTTAGTTAATATTTAATCTGATGCTTCAAAGGTCATTGAAAACCAGTTAAAATGTTACCCAACAAATGATCTGGTTACTTCTAATGATGTTAAAATGTAAATTCCTAGGCTTCCTATGGAAGAGGGGTCCTTTGAAAGCAGTGCACTTCTGGTCCAGGGTATTGGGTTAGGCTAGCATTGTTTCAGACAGGGTGTCCTGTAGCCTCTGGGTGCTCAGAGGTGGCTTACTCCCCAGCAGGAGAGGGTTTCATATGCAATCCAGCTATTTCTGTAAGGTGGGTCACCATATATATGTAGGTATGACTATATTTCTGTTTTATTTGATCCTAGCTGTCTGACATTATTCGAATTCCTAAATGTTTCCAAGGCCCACTGATTAAAAGAAAATAAAAACTACCCACATTAACATTTGTGAGGAGTAAATGAGATCAATTACTGATTTTCTCTAAATAGGGAATCAATAGGAGAGGACTCAGGACAGTATCTGATACAATAAGTACTCTTTTTCCTCTAAGAATCTGGTCTAGGCCAGCTGACCATAAAGTTACAAGGACCAGTGAATTGCTAACAATATAAAAACTTGTAATGGCAGACCCAGCTAATTTGAATTGTTGATCATCTGTATAAACTATGTAATCAGGGGCTGGGGGTGTAGACTGGCAAGTGTAGAGATCTGAGTTCTATCCCAGTACCACCACCACCAACACCAAAAAAAAAAAAAAAAAGTGTAATCAGTTTCAAGGTTGTAAGAAAAGAGACTGATGAAAAACTGAATTTATTTTTAACTAAGTTAGCAAAAAGAGCTGTTTGATTAAGGAATTACATTGTTTGAAGGTACTTTATCACTACTAATTTATGTAAGAAAACTCATAAATCATCCTTATCTTTCCTTTTGTCCAAGATGCACAGTTGTCCACTCCAGGCAACACCTGAGCAGTTTAGTTTATTTCTGTTCAAAATACAGAAAATTCTGTCCACATGCATATTTCCCTATTCAGATATTTTATCCAATGCATTTACATTCTTCTCCATAGTGTAGCTCAGTGAACATTTACTCTGTGCTTTTGAAAGAGTTGCAAGAAAATGATCTCTATATTCCAGCTCATCATGACTCAGCATTGAAGGTATTTTTATCCAGATCTCTTAAATCAGCATCCCATTCGACACAGCTCCCATCGGAACACTGGTCTGCCCTTTCTTACTGGCAGTGTGAATGCATCATTTTTAATGCTGATGGGGCAGATTTTCTCCTAGTTCATTTTCAATGGTCAAATCACTGATTTTGCTATTTAGATGCCATGAACTAGCACCAGGACCATCAGGGGCTGATGAATTATTTTATATCAATTTTGGAAAGCAGGATACTGCTGTAATAATTACATAAGTGGCTTTTGGGGCTGTGTCATGGGTGGAGGCTGGAAGTATTTTGAAGCCTTGGAGAGAAAGAGCCTAGATAACCTTAAGAGACTGTTGGTATAAATGCAGTCATTAAAGGTAGTTCTGGGAAGGGCTCAGAAAGAGGTGAGGAGAGATACAGAGAGATCTTCCATTGTCTTTTAGAGAATCCTTGCATCTCCATGTACAGGATGTTGCTAGACTTATGAACGTCACGGTGCTTCTGGTGAAGTCTCAGATGGGAGGAAGAACATGTTATTGGACACTAAAGGAAAAGTGACATTGTTATAAAGTAGCAGAGAACTGGAGTGACTTGGGTTGTGCCATTAGAAAGAAAGTAGAGCTTGTAACTGACAATGAACTTGGGTATGTGGAGATTTCCAAGTACGATGTGGAAGGTGCAGCCTGATTTCTCCTTGCTGTTTATAGTAAAATGTGAGAAGAGAGAAAGAAATTGAAGCAGGCACTGCTACACAGAAAGGAGTTGGCACCTGTCAACTTGGAGAGTTCTTAGCCTCTCTAGACAGTGCACTACAGATATAGCCAAGAGTGTCACTTGACGACTGTTTGCTAAATAAATGAGGTGTGTGACTCATGGATCTACTCAGAGGTCTCAGCTGAAGCCAGGAAGTGAGAGGCAGTTGTTCAGGAAAGAT